TTTCCAAAAATGTATTCCATATGCATTAAATTCTAGTGTCAATAAATATGTTTTCTATAGATCAAAGTTATACAGTTAACTAATGAAAAACTAACGAAAAATATCCACCAAATCCAAGCAAAAATCAGCCACCATTGTTTGCTATAATGACATGACAGAAAAGTGGAAATATTTCAAGGAATTTTTTTGTTTTGTTTTGAGTTTCTGAGGGAAATAAGTCTTTAAAATTCAGCATTATATAGACACCATCTTTTTTTTAAAAAAAATATTTATTTATGTATGTATCTTTAGTTTTAGGTGGATACATTAGTTTGTTTTTATGTGGTGCCGAGGATCGAACTCAGTGCCTCATGCATGCTAGGCGAGCACTCTACCACTGAGCCACCACCCCAGCCCTAACACTATCTTTTAAAATAAAATTAAACAATGAAAATCCGTTCCAAGATAGTTAAAGAGGGGTTAGAATACAAACAACAATAAGTGTTGGCAAGGATGTGGCAGAATAGGCACACTCATACATTGCTGGTGGGACTGCAAATTGGTACAGCTAATCTGGAAAGTAGTATGGAGATTCCTTAGAAAACCTGGAATGGAACCACCATTTGACCCAGCTCTCCCACTCCTTGGTATATACCCAAATGACTTAAAATCAGCATATTATAGTAATGCAGCCACATCAATGTTTACATCACAATAGCTAAATTGTGGAACCAACCTAGATGCCCTTCAATAGATGAATGGATAAAGAAACTGTGATATATATACACAATGGAATATTATTCAGCATTAAAAGAATAAAATTATGGCATTTGCAGGTAAATGGATGGAGTTGGAGAATATCATGCTAACCAAAGTAAGCCAATCCCAAAACACCAAAGGCCAAATGTTCTCTCTGAGAACATAATGGGATTTGGGGGGTGGGTGGGGGGGGGGCGGTGATGGGAAAAATGGAGGAACTGTGAATGGGCAAAGGGGAAGGAGAGGAGGGGAGGAAGCATGGGGGCAGGAAAGATGGTGGAATGAGATAGATATCATTACCCTAGGTACATGTATGACTGTACATATGGTGCCACCCTATATCATATACAACCAGAGAAATGAAAAGATGTGCTGCAATTGTGTACAATGAATCAAAATGCATTCTGCTTTCACATATAATTAGAATAAATAAATAAATAAAATTTAAAGAAAAAAAATCTATCTTTCCTATCTATTAGATCTCCCCATTATTACTCTTCCAATAAGGGTCTAACTCCAGGCTAGGCAAGTACCAGTAGTCAAATGAGGCAAGTTCATGGAGACTGTAAACTACCTGCAGGAGCTTACAGGCTCCTCCCCTGCTCCAACCTGCTACTACAGATCCTTTCTCATCCTATTGATAACTGTAAGGAATGCAGACCTGGTACAAGATACCTCAGTTTTTCCTAACAGAAGTCAAAAAATCAAATCCTGTGAAATCTTCCATTTTTTACTGTTAGCAATTAAAAATCAAACCCAAAACAGTGCAGACTAAGTAACAAGTATATACAAACTGAATTTGACCTTCCAGTATGCAACCAATACTAGCTGCAGGGAAAGAATACTGCACAAACAGAAGCATCAGTAAGAATCTTAAACATGTGACTCCTAAAACCCCCAAAAGCCTCCTCACTCCAGGACTAATACTCAGATTTCACAATGAAGACAGGCTCAACACATACTAAAAAATACCACCAGTAATCTTTCCCACTTGAAGATGAATTTTGAGGTTAATTTTTTTCAATAATACTACTTTAATATACCATTTTAGTATACATTTTAAGGGAAAAAAAACAAAAGTTATCACTGACATGACTGGATCAAGAAACATCTAACTTCAATAAATTAGAAACCACATTTTCTATAGATTTTTTTAAAAGTTAGTATTTTATAAACCAAATATGTTAGGTAAAATGAAGTGTCAATCAGCTAGATCCTTAGGAAGCAACTACTTGAGCTACTTTAGCATCTCTAGGTGAAATATCAGGAACTGGCAGTCCTGATAGGACATTTCAATTAAGCAACATGAAAAAGGAAAAGTAAAGGGGGAAGAAGTGACAACAATATTAACTGGCAAGATATTTCTGTTATGTAATGATTAAAAATGCCAGAGGACCCAAGATTCAATACAATTTTCTTTACTGCTTTAGCTCTACTAAGAAGATTAGATGGCTAAAATGGATAAACTAGCAAGACCTTCTATTTGGAAACACAATCTGCTGGATTTTAAAAAATGCTATGTGGAGTAGCACTCAAAGATTTAATCTTATGGTTTAACTTTAAAAGGATCCTCTCAAAATTTCCAATTTAAGGGAAAAATAAGCTTTATAGAGTTCTCACTTAACTTGGAAAGATAACCCATATATATTATATTGACGACATTTTTAAGCCCTTAAGAACAATGCAATATGATTTTTTTAAGGCAGTCTGACTTCTTCAAAGCTAGATTTCATCACCTGAAAGCTGTGTGACTTTATACAGGTTATTAAACTACTCTGAACTTCACTCCTCTCATCTATAAAACAGGATAACACTAGGCTAACTTAATTCCCATAGTGAGAACTGTAATACATCTTAGATGCACTGTAATTTAGTCTCTTTAAATCACCAGTTTAAAACACTTCTTGCAGAGCAGGTACACACACAAAAAAGAGAAGTTAATACTTTCTGAGGTCACCTTTTTCATTCCTATACTTCTATTTTTCTTTCACTAAGCAAAAATCAATTTCCCCAGTTACTTCAATCCCATCAATCCCACTCAACCTTAAATCTTATCAAGTACAGGTAATTCAACTCTCACTGAATTCTAGACTCTGAGAGTTGAGCCTATATCTATTTAGTATTAAAGCCCTAGCACACAGAATAATAAGCATATTGCAGGAGTCTAATAAATACCTGCAGACTGAGTGATGCAGTCTGTGCAGTATTTACTTACTGATCAATAAGATGCCCTCTAATAAAAAGGGCACAGATGTGTATATTTTCAGGCATGATCATTTAATGCTGAAGGTTTAAAGTTAAAATAACAATCAAACTTATGTTGTACTTGGAGGAGGAGGGAAGTATGGGGGATTAACCCTGGGGCACTCTACCACTGAATTCACTCCCAACCTTTTTAAAAAATCTCATGTGTGGGGGTAGGGGTGGGCAGAGAGAGAGAGACAAGGTCTCCCTAAGTTGGTGAGGGTCTCCCTAAACTATGCAGGCTGTCCTGGAACATGTGATCAACCTCTTGCCTCAGCCTTCTAAGGTGCTGGGATTATAGACGTGCACCACCAAACTTGGGTATGTCCTGCTTTCTTTAAAATCCTTCTGTATACAGTAAATGAAAGGCAATTTTGCCATACTTAAAATAAATAGTGTTCTTCTTCAATGATAAAGCTTATTCAAAGTAATGAACTTCTCAATGGCTCCATAACTCTTACTCATCGCTTCAGATATAACTGAATTCCAAATCTACATTTTAAAAAATTCTCAAAATGATATGCAATCTTATCACCAATGACTATCTGCAAATAAGCCCCAAATAATAAAAACCTACTCAAATTTTATCACTCGAAGGCTCCAGAAAACATCAGTATTAAAGTTGTGATTATAAAATCTGTAACAACTTTTTCTCATTACTTTCTCAGCAACACACTGCTATAAATAAACGCTTCACTGCTTACACACTCATTTATGATTTAGTCATTTATATTCCACAACTTAAAAGTAGGTTTCATAAAGTATGATCTATTTCACAAAACCAGAAAGCAAACAATGAATGATTAGTTTACCATCCTCTGCAAATCTATAGGAAAATTTTCATTATAAAATAAATTTCTCCCACCCAACAATTTTGTCACTGTGCTATTAGCTTAAACAAGTCTGCTACATACTCAAGTCAACAGCCATTCCAAATTCACAATATTTCTGGATTATCTGGCTTGAGCATGTGGTAGTGATCCAGAACTATTCAGCCTCCTCTAAAGGACATTAGGTAAAGCTACTACAAAACAGAAATAATTTTATAATAAAGAGTAAAATCCAAAAGGCTTCATTAATAAACACAAAACTAAGGGAGGATATGAAGAGAAATTTAATATTCAGCTTTTAAAAGAAACAGCCATGTTTTTTCCCACTCTAACCACAAACTTTGCCATCCACTAAAGTGGATGAAGCCTATAGTCCTACAAAACTTTCTTTTCCCTTCCATTTCTCCTGTGATAGTAAAAGAAAACTCATACATTAACCAAAACAGTATATTACGTAAAAATAAGCCATTACATGCAGGAAGGCTCTAAAAAATTAAAATCACTACATCATTAAAATACTATCTGAAGGGTGACTTTAAGTACTGAGTGAGGAACTTACAGCCAGAGAATAGACACTTGAGGGGCCCATTCTGGGTCTGTACCACACAGGCTACCCCCAAAGGGAAGATGACAGTAATTTAAAATGCACGGATCCACACACTATCTACGGGCTCCTAACTCCTTCCCAATTTGCTGCGGAAAGTATTCCTTTGCTATGGCCCTCAAAGTTGCCAATGCATCAAAGCAAAAGTGGTTGGAGATGGCAAAATAGAACAGACCTGGGCTAAAAGCACACCTTCATGCCTGTCCTGTGTCCAGGAACAATTTCTCAACGTGGCCCAGGGCTTGCTGCAAAGCCAATGACACGGCCCTTCTTGCAGCAAGCACGCAAAGGAAGTTTCTCAACAGTCCTAGAGGCGACTTCTGGGGATAATTATCAATATACTTCCATTATCGATGCGCTGCTGACAGCATCAGGAGTGCCCACGAACACAAGGAAAGGTTCGGAGGCAAAGTGTCCATTATTTGCCTTTGCCTAGGTCCCTGTTCCTGGGGAAACAGGGGCTGGGGTTACAAGTACGCCTCTGCCCTTCCCACTCCCCGTAGGCAGAAGCCGCCGGCCGGCCCCGATCCCGCACCCAGGTCCCGCGCCTGCGGACCCCGTGGGTGCCCCGGCCCCGCTCTCACCTGATCTTGTAATTCGGCAGCGTGTGTTTGCGCTTGATGATTTTCTTGAGCTGGTTGACGATGATGGAGGTGAGTTGGGGCATGGGCCGCCCTTCAAACTGGGAGCGCACCTCGAAGTCGATCAGCGGGTCCTCCACGAAGGAGAAGAACCAGTGGGTGAAGGGCACGCGGGTGAGGACGAAGCGCAACCTCCCCACCACTCGGGACAGTTTGACGAACAGGTAGGCGGACTTGCCAAAGACCAGGTCCACGTCGATGGCCAGGTGGAAGCCCCCGCTGTACTCCACCTCCGCCTCAAAGGCCAGCTCCTCCGGGCAGGAGGCGGGCAGCGCCTCCCCCTCGGGGCCATGGGGCTCCCCGGTGGCCGACGCTACCACGGGCCGCACGAGCCGGATGGTCTTGATGAAGGGCACCGTCTCGCCCAGGAACACGTCCCGCAGGCTCAGCCCCTCCAGCAGGCGCCCTGCCGTCTTGGTCTGCAGCAGCTCCTCAAACTCCACCTTGATCTTCTTGGTGACCCAGCGGCGAGTCAGCGCGGTGTCCCGCAGCTCCCGGAACAGGAACAGGATGGTGGCGTTGAGAAAGTAGCAGGTCTCCCGCGTCGGCGGGGCGGGGGTCTCGGAGGCCGGGGTCGCACCGCCCTCGGGGGCCCCGCTGGAGGGCTCCTCAGCCCCGCCGCCGCCATAGAGGTACTCCCGCAGGGGCAGGCCCGGCACCGGCTTGGAGTAGCTGAAGCCGTCGCCTGCGCTGGCCGCCTCGTCCGGCGGCGGCTCGGGCTGTCTGCGGTACAGCAGCAGGAACTGGGTGAGCAGCGTGAGGAAGGAGCCCAGCACGGCCGACGCCAGGATCATGAGCAGCAGCCCCATCCCGCCGCCGCCGCCCGGGCCGCCGGGCCCCCTACTCCCGCGCCCACAGCGCCGCTTTCTTCACGCCACCGCCCCCGCTGCCTCCATCTTGAGGGCATGGGGCGGCGGGGTCGGGGCGAGCGGCTCCCTGGGCCTCGTCCGGGACTTGGGCCCGCGCGCTGCGGCGCCTGAGCCTGCAGCGGCCCGCGCCTCCTCAGACTCTCCCGGGGCGGCCGGTGCGACCGCGGCAGCGGCGGCGGCGGCGGCGGGGCGAGGGCGGGAGGAGGCGGGGACGGCGCCTCCCCCAAGCCTCCGCTCATTGGGCGAGCGGCGAGTGACGTCAAGCGTGCTCGCTCCCGGAAGCGTCGCCTGGCAGTCGGCGTCAGGGCGCGCGGACGCGGGTACTTCACCTCTCGGGCCCCTTTCCAGCCCCGCCCCCACGCCCACATTCCATTCCCCGCCTCGCGCGCCGCGATCCACGTGGATGTCACTTCTGGAGTCGCGGTCAGCATCTGAGAGGATAACTGAGGGCACGGGTTAGAGGCTGCGAGGTCCGGCGGAGATGGCTTGTCGGGTCATTCAGTTATCTTCTAACGCGCCCATCCCCCTCCCTGGCCACTGGCCCTGCCGCCTCTGCAGCAGCGTCGTTCTTCCCGCAGTGTGGTTCTTCCACTTGCTGCCGCACATCTGTCCCCTCGCCGACAGCTGAGCCGGTGGCGGCTGTGGCTTTCCCTGCAAAGCCCAACTGCAGAAGTCCCGAGCAGGCCACTCGGACACTGCCCAAACTGACTAAAGAAAACTGATCGTCTCAGAGACCGCCATCGCTGGCCAGCAATCCGACCAGCAGTCGCCCTGCGTCCGCGGAGCGTGGGCCCTGGGAAGAAGAGACAAAGGCAAAGGACTAACTTTCCCTCCAAAGGAAGTTTAAATGAGAGCTGACCGGAGGATGACCGAAATGAATCTGCCAGGTGATTGGAAGACGAATTAGTGACTGTCAGGTTCTTGTTGAACCCCTATGTGTATTACCACATTTAGGCCATCTCTGAGGCAGTTAGTGAGAGCCTTCACCCATTTTACAGATGCGAATTGACACAGAGCCTAAGGAAGTGGCATGGGATCACATAGTGGATCCTGGTTTATCCAACATGAAACCCGAAGTTTTTGGTCATCACTCTGTACCATAACACCAAGATTGCTAGAGTTTTAAGAGGGCTGATCTGTTCCCTGGTGCACCAGAAGGGAGAGTTGGGGGAGGGGTGTCAGGGAAAACAGAATTTTGTCCCTGGCAGCATCTCAACCACATGAAGCCAGATTGCTTAGTAAACAGTGTTATTCCTTTGATCTCTAAGTCGTTGCCTCATAAAAGTCGTTGCCACATCTGCCTCCATCCACGTGGACACCACAACACTTCTAATCCTACAGAAGCCAGATATTCTATACATATTCTATGCAGCTGCCCCTAAGGCACCAGAGGAGCACTCCTCTCTAACCCTTAAAAATCTTCAGGCCAAGAATTCTCTTTGACTCTGGGTGATTCTAGGACAAAGTCAGAGTTCTGACCCTACTAGGGCAAGTACAGAACTTTGGAACCAGTCTGATCTCACATATTCATGCCCAAGTCAGAAACCAGAATGACTATTACTAGGAAGATATAAGTCAGGTGTCTGCTCAGAAACAAGGCTCAAAACCTTGCCGAGATTTCTGGAAGGTCAAGCAACTTCTGTTCTCATCATCACCCTCTGCTTCTGGGATGCTGTCTCAGAAATGTACACCTTTTCTCAATTTCTGAAACCTTATAAATAACACTCATGCACTGTTTTAGCCAGCTTCTTTGCTGCTGGGACTAAAAGACCTGACCTGAACAATTTTAAGGGTGGAAAAGTTTATTTAAGGGCTTGTGGTTTCAGAGGTCTCTATCCATAGACTGCAGGCTCCATTCCTCAGGGCTTGAGATGAGGCAGGACATCATGGCTGAAGAGTGTGGCAGAGAGAACCAGCTCACATGGTGATCAGAAAGCAGAGAGAGACTTCACTCTCCAGACACAAAATATATACCCCATAGCCATGCCCCCAATGGACTAGTTCCTCTAGCCACACCACATCTGCCTCCAGTTACTACTCAGTCAATCCCATCAGGGACCAATTCGCTGATCATGCCAAGACTATAATCCAATCATCTCTCCTTGCATTGTCTCACACATGAGCTTTTGGGGGACACCACATCTAAACCATAACATGCACCATTGTAGTAAATGTTACAGAAACCAGAGGTGAAGTGGGGAGAAGGAATATTTCACATCAGTGACATGAAAACCTCAGACTGTATGTTTACCCTTCCTGGATCTTAATGTACCCTTCACCTGCCTACCCACAAGATAAGGTGGTAGTCTTCACGGTCCTCAATCTCACACTCCATCCTGTAGACTCCTTCCCTTCCCCCATCTTCTGCCTTACTCCTTAGAATATTTCTGGGTACCCAAATCTTCTCAATCCATTATTCAGTCATTCAGTTCCTCAGCAACACTTGTCCCATGAAGGAGTTTAGCAAACCTCTGGGGGAAGATAGAAGAAAAATATATTCCCTTGTGTTAAAAATGGTTAACATTTATTGAGCACCAATTCTCACAATTCAGAGAATTAACTTGTACCAGGCACAATGTTAAGCACTTCATAATTTAAAAATACTTACCTATTTTTAAAAATATTTGAAAATCAAAATGTTAATGAGTTTTTATACAGTCAAATGTATTTGATATTTAAATTAGGTGGTAATGAGCATGATAATTTTGGTGTTAACATACACTTTATTTTATGAAATGATGTTGTGTTAACAGAAGCTTAGTGTTTTTAGTGTTATTCGTTGGAAGAATATAAATTCAGCAACCCTTTTTTCTTTTTAAATATTCATGCTGGTTCATAGTAATTCTAAAGACTGAGAGCCACTGGCCTTGGCTCTGAAAATCTATGATTCTGAGTAGGTTTCTAAAGAAAGGAGTTGTACTGCTGACTTTTTAATGTGCTTTAAATGACATCATTGAAATTAAGCTGCCCCAACAGCCTTCACAGGAAGTATGCATTTCAAAGACAAAGACAGTTGAATACTGAAAGACAGGTTTTGTCTAGGATTCAAAATCCCACCATCCAGAGAGAGACTTGTGCTTCTAGTGCTGCTAAGCCCTTACTCCTTCCTGGTACCCACCAAATAGGAGAAAGCCAAAGCATATGAGTGTGGGAAGTTTGTGAGTACATGAAAAGCTGATTTGATTAAAACCATATAAAATAATGCAAATGTAGCAACATGGAGGTAGGCATAGAGAAGTTTAGAGTATTTGCTAACAAATGATCCATCAACTCATCCTATCAACTCTGAGGATATAAATCCAACAACTATTTTCTGAGCATCCAACATGTGTCAGGCTCTAGAGGTGCTGGATGAACAGGATCAAGTTCTTGCCCTCAGGGGTGCCAGGCCCCTGTTTGCTTGCCAGGTGCAAGCAAACACACCAGCATAACTCTGATGATAAGAGATAGTTATTGTACTAGCAGAGCCTTCTGGTTCATGGGGAGAGACAGTTGACTACAAGGAACAGAAACTGCCTCAGGATAACTTAACTGAAATTGGATTCATGTTAAGGATACTGGAATATCTCCAGGAACTCCACTGCAAGATGTTGAGCTGGGGCATCACAGAAACCCTGGAATGGTTTTTTTCTCTCTCTCTCTCCACCTGTCCCCACCCCCACCCAATATCTTGTGCTTACAGCTCTCTGCAGATATGCTGTGTTATTCTATATGGCTCTTGATTTCTGCTCCCCTATGGCCTCAGCATGCAGGCAACTTGGAAGGCACCAACTCTGCACCCAAATCTAGATGGTCCCATGTCCCCTGTATCTAATTGGTTACTCAAATCCAGCCATTTGTGCCCCAGGGCTTGCTGCTTCTGCACTGCTGGAAGGTGAGGCAACTTCCCCAATAAGGGGGATTGAGAAAATGTGATGGGCAATTCTAGTTTGATAGGGGATGATGAGAGAGGAATGCTGGCTTGGGAAGGTGGGAGGCTTCCTAGGGTAAATGGAATTTGCATTAACCTTGGAGGATTAGACAGATGCTCTAATCAGAAGGAGGCCAAAGCTCAGAAATTGGAATTCCAACAGAACCTAGAGAAATAGCAGGATGAATGGAGGAGGATAGCATGAATAGGGTTGGTGCCAAGGGGAGGGAAAGAAGATGGGGGTAAAACATAAACTGAGTTATGGAGGGACTGAGTATCAGGGCAAAAGAGGATTCTATTTTACAGGCTTTGTAAAGTCTCCAAAGTTTGTTTAAGTAAGAGCATGGCATTTAATACTTTTCCTTCCATCTCCTTTGCCTGCAAAATCTCAACCTTAATGTGATCCAGCTATCTTCCTTTTCCCCTCTGCGTCTGTAAACTTATGGTCTTCATTCTCATGGGGCCTTCATAGCACTCCTAGTTCCCACCTACTCTTTTATCCATTACCCCAGCCAACATCTTCTTCTCTCCCACAACAATGTCATCAAACCTTGACCATCTCAGGCCTCCCACCCTTACCTGCCCCATCAAGCTTAAGAGAGGACCCAGGTCCCCATTAATGAGAAGAAAAAGAAACCCTAAGGCTGGCATGCCCTGGGCTTGCCTGGCCCCAGATCACCTGCAAGAGACACTTGTCTTTTCATCCTCCTCTTCTGTGGCAACAACGTAACGACTAAAAACCACACACACACACACACGCACACACACACACACACACACACTAAAAGGAGGAGGAGGAGGAAATAAAGAAAAGCAGACAGACAAAACAGCAAAAACTTTGCTTCTGCTGTGGATCCCACTGCCTTCCAGGGTCTATCTCCTCTTCTTTAGCAGATCAGCCACTTTTGATTCTCACAAAATGAAAATGAACATCCTACTTTAAGCCTTCCAACTTGTGTCTTTTTTATCTCTTCATAGTCAAGTCTAACTGATTCTTTCTGATTACATCCTTCCTTTCCACTCCCTTGAGTCCTCTGTACTCTGACTTCTGCCTGAACAGCTCTTCCTCACTCCATGAACCCATTCTTGCCAAAGCCCCAGTAACTTCCTTTTGGTCACAACCAATAGACTTTTAAAATTTTTTTTCATCAGAGGATCCAAGGATCCTCTGATAATAT